ATCTACTGGAGATCAACTTGCCTACGTCATCCATTTATGGCAAGCTTCATTAGAAAAACACGGGGAATCTCTAGCTGTCGCGTTGGACATATCGAAAGCATTCGACCGTGTTTGGCACGAAGGACTCCTCCACAAACTACCATCATACGGCTTACCACCTCAGCTATGCCATCTCTCATCGAGTTTTCTTTCAGGCAGATCGCTTCACGTGGTGGTGGTGGACGGTGTATCGTTTGATACCATTGGCATCAATTCCGGCGTTCCACAAGGATCAATTTTGGCACCAACATTATTCCTTCTTCATATCAATGATCTGTTGGGAGTAACAACTTGCCCCAGCCACAGCTTTGCAGATGATAGTACAATCCATACTGCGTTCTCTTCCAGAATTCTCATTTCATCCCAGGAAACTGAGAACTCTCGGCGCAGGCAGGTCAATGCTGTCAATGAAGACCTTGCTGAAATCACAGCCTGGGGAACCAATAACCTAGTTGAATACAACTCCACCAAAACTCAAGCCTGTATTTTCTCTAGAAAGGCAGAACTCAGTATGCCCGATATTGTAATGTCTGGCACCACCATCCTCACCAAGCCCACCATATCTATGCTCGGTATTTCCATCAGCAACGCTCTTTCATGGAATAATCATGTCAGATCCATCGCAAAAGCTGCTTCACAAAAACTCGGATTCTTGTTCCGTGCGAAAAGCTACTTTCAACAGCTTCTCATGATCTATAAAGCGCAGATACGGCCTTTTCTAGAATGCTGTTTTCACATATGGGGTTCAGCACCAAAACATACGCTGATGCTCTTAGATTCCATCCAGAGAAGAGCCATTCGCCTGGTGGGTGACGCCACACTCACACACTCTTTGACATCATTGGAACACCGTAGAGAGGTCGGCGAACTTTCACTTTTCTATTGATACTTCCACGGGAAATGTTCTTCGGAAATCTTTGCTATCATCCCTTCACTAGCAATACCAGTCAGACAAACTAGACAAGCCCAGTCAGCATATCCTTTCGTTGTCAACCCCAAAAGATGTCGAACAGCACTTCATCAAAACTCCTTCATCATATTCCCAACAACATATAATCTCCAGAAGCTCAAAAAAAAATTCCAATACCTACCTCCTGTCCCTATCCTCCCTAGGAACGCACGATGTTCTTTCTTGCGCTCCGAGCGATAAAAAAAAGCTACAAATTATTCATTTTCCTATACAAATATCCATATTTCACTAGGAGTAATGATTGTGACAATTTCCAAAATTTCAAAACCTTCTCGAGAAAACAGTTGGTGCGATTTGGTTTCCATCTCAGGAAGATTAAAAAAATGTTCCTCCCAAACGGTTGGCGTATGAAAATCTTGAAAAGTTTCACAGCTCTGATTATCATCCTGTAGAAAATCATTCTGGAGAGATACAACAACAGTTTTTATAGGTACGATACCTAGTCTATATCAAACGAACATTCAGAAACTGATATAAAAAAGGAGGGATAGTCCAAAACTATGATGAATCAAAATTGATCAAAATATGTCGATTTCACGTTTTGAGTATTTAGCAGTTTATTTTTCCATTTCAATGTGGAGGGAGCTGATCTGTTCTCAAAACTTCAATGATAAGTGAAGCTTTAAAAATATGTCAATATACTCATATATTATAGTCTTCTTTTTCAAGCATTTTTCAGATAAGGTGTAACTGAGTATAGATTGAATTTCTCTATTAGGTATCTGAATAGTGAAATTTTCAAACGAAGTTACATTCTGGGACATACAAGTGATTTGTACTTAGTACAACTGAATTGAAACAATAAAAGCAATCAATTTATTCACTAGGGAAAAGATCACAAAAATTTGAAGGACATAGGTACATCATTTTATGAATTTAGTTGTCCTACATTTTTGTGTGCTCTGTGTAACTGGATATGGAGGGTGAAATGAAGCAATCATAACTAACACCTCGTATATAAATTCCGTATTATTTCCGTATTATCCAGATCTGAAGAGCTAGCATTCACTGACGTCCATAGAATATAAGGTTATGGAGATAAAAATACCCTCATTTTAAGTTTTGTTGAAGTGGAAAAGCTTCGAGAATATTCGAAACCTCCCCCGTGCTTTTCTTTTCGAGGAGCTAAATCAAAATACAAATCACTTTACAATTTACGGTCACAAACATCTAACAAGAAAAAGTTCGTAGATTTTATTATTCGTACCTATAGCTATTCGAATTTCTTACACGGAATCTGTCACATCATCATAAGTAGGAGAATGTTAGAGAGTAGTTGAAATATATCATTGTTATGCAATTGATTTTATCATTATCAAAAAACCTCTGATACAAAAATATGGACATTGTATGTATGAATGTATGTTTATTGATATAAATATGGTATAATTATAAACAAGCAACAAGTACTTAAACATTCAGAACACTTCAATAAACACAACATATAAAACAACAGAAACTATCTGGGCGATAGTTTGTATGTGGTGAGACAATAAAGAATAAATAGTATTAGAAAAAAAAAATTATATACAGTCTGTCCAAGATATAAGGTTGAACAGCATGGGGATCTCGAAAACGGTAGGAGATACGAAGTCGGTTAAATGGGGAAAAAGTTGCGCATTCGGAGGCTCATGTCAAGAGCCTTTGAAAATTCTGAAAATTATTTTTAGTTTTTGAGTTATATCGAAAAAAGTGAATTTTTGGAATTTCTATTTTATTTTTTTTCTCCGTTATTATTAGAGATACAGAAAAACTGAAAACACTTTTTTATAGCAACTTTTGATGACGTTTAACGTGGTGATATCGATTCTTTTGAGCAACGTTTCGTATTCGTGGAACCATCATCAACTTTTGTTTTTTGAATACGGTCCTGATAATTTTTTCACAGATTCTGAAAGTTTTTTTTATTCTGAATTCAACCATGTATCATACAAAGTGGTTTATGTTGTGTGTTTCAACCTATTTTCAGCCATCATCAATGTTAAATCGAAATTCCAAAGGGAAAATGCAATCAGTTTCACTTATTTTGAAGGAGAATTAGTCAACACACTAATACCTCATCAACTGGTTTCAATCAACAACCCATTTCATTTTGCGGAAACAAAAATTCCATCCATACAAATTCAGAAACCAGGCGATGACGAAAGGCGCAGGACATTCAGTGAGTGGTATCAAAGGGTGACTAACCTATATTCTTTGGTGGTATACTTGCGGTAATAATGGTCATAACTCACTTGATGAATTACAGCACTCGCCTGTGGCTCGTGCTGCAAACTTCATCTGCGTGAGTTATGACCTACATTACCGCTCGTTGAATAATATACTATTATATCATTTGGAGAAAAAATTCTATGTTTCACACGGCAGCAAATGTAGATTGACTGCCTTGGCTGAATTCCTAGAATCGCATTGTCAAATATCTAATACTTTCGCTTCGGCAAAAAGTTGATCAGTGTGATACCAATGGTGTTTGTTCTGAAGTAATTTCAAGAATTCATTTTGCTCTTGAAACACCTCCCTAACCTATGATTCCATAACTCAGATGTGATTCAGCCAGACTCTGATGAACTATTATTCTTTCTTTTTCAGTCAAGTATTCAATAATTCTCTTATATTCAAATAAAATACACATCAATTTTGTTGAAAAGTAGTCAACATGAGTTTTCCATCCATTATTCCCAAATATTTAATTTCATTTGCTCGTCTTATTGTGAAAGACTTTTGTATAGTAATATGTTGTTTGTGTTGTGATAGTTAAATGTATATCATATCAATGGCACTATATGAACCATAATATGCGAGCATGATGAGCATGACTTCCATGCGCATCCACTAGGACCTAAATGGAGGTTATTGCTTATTATGCTTCACATAACCTACAAATTGAGCCTTCATTTCTGATATCTAGGATATGAGTATCTGCAGTAGCGGGTCATATATATATATTTTTTTTCAAATATTTGTAATAATGTTGTTTTTTTGTGTTGTAAAAGGAAGAAGGAAATAAACAAATTTATTATATTATATTATTATATTATATCATAGTTTGTGAGACCTGCCTGTCAAGGCTACCGAAAGGTGAGTAGACCGTTGTTTTAAAATTCAACGATGATAATCTGTAGTCTAACTAGGTTTCAATTTTGGCAAAATTGTTTTCAATTTTGATTTTCAAATACCAGTTTTTGTCCTTATAGATAACCAAAGTATCATCGGCAAAGCTTATTATTTGACCCTCTTTCTTCAGTAAAAATATGTTATTCATATAAATAGTGAATAACAGAGGACCCCAACCGTCCCTTGAGGCACACCACATGTTACTTCCTTCGCTTCGCTAATTTTTCATTTATTTCATTGGAATCATTCCATCCAAAATTGAACAATTGCTTTACCTCTGTCAAATTAACTTTTGCATGAAGAACAAAAATGACGGTCAATTAACGTTTTTAGATGTTCTTTCAGACATGAAATATAACTAATGAGTCAAATCAATGATTCCGACACGAAATGGCAAATTTTCCTATTGTTAAGAGTGCATCCCAAAAACTTGGTTTTCTGTTTCAGGCCAGGAGCTATTTCACTGCCAGTCAGCTGCTTATGATCTATAAGGCACAGATCCGACCTGTCCTGGAATACTGTCCCCATATTTGGAGTGCAGCACCCAAACATACCCTGAAACTGTTGGATTCTGTCCAAAAAGGGCAGTTCGTCTCGTGGGTGATGCCTCGCTCACAAACTCACTCACTTCTCTGGAACACCGTAGAAAAGTTGGCGATCTGGCTCTATTTTATAGATATTTTCATGGACGATGCTCTTCCCAAATATCAACAATTATTCCTCCCTTGGCAGTCCCCGCGAGATTAACCCATCGAGTTGAGGCTTTGCACCCCTTCGTGGTCACTTTGAAGACATGCAGAACATCTCTTTCCAAAGACTCGTTCATCCAACGAACAGCGACGCTCTGGAACACATTGCCAAGGGAGGTGTTTCCAGAGGCATATAACCTCCAGAAATTCAAGAAGAACACCAATTCCTACCTGATTTCCCTTGGTTCTCACGATGTTCTCTGAACATTACAGGATATCCCTTTTCGAGGGAACCAGAACATAAAAAAAAGTTATTATAAAAAAACTGAATATTTTTCAAAACTTCATATGGAGTTTTCTTCTTGAATTAAGTCAATGAATCACTTCCACAAATATCAGCATGTCCTCAAGGAACACCCTGTATATCTAGGGCACTAAAACGCAATCACCAACTAATAACGTTCGATTATCTAACAAGGCCTTATCTGAGAGCAGTGGCGAAAGATATTGAGAGTGCACCTGATGCGTAGGCACCTGGGTTCGTGTGGGGTCCCACCCGGACTCCGGACTTTTCCAGGATATAAAAGCGGTCCCGGACCTGGACGGTGTCACTCTGTCATTCACCCCGCATCCAGTTATGTTGCGGTCAGCGTTGGTTATCCTGGCGGTTATCGCCGCCATTGTGGTTGTTGAGGGGGCCCCTAAAGAGGTGAGTCCATTTTTTCTGATTTTTTTTCGACGTGATTCTTTTTTATGTACAGGTGTGCTCGAAAAAAACAGAATGTACAGTGTCTCCAGCTTTCGATGCTTTTGCGTGAAATCTCAGTTATCTCTGGGGATAGGACCTTGCGGTTTCCACGGTTCTGTGCCACTTTTTTGTGATACTCAAGATGGCCTAATCAGATTTTGCAAAACTGTTTTCGTTTTTGAGATTCAGGGCGATTTTTAAAATTTATACTTCTTGGACCCCCTTCATATCTACGAAGTTTCTTAGCGAAAATGTCAAATCAAGATCATCACCTATAGAAAATTTTATGCAGAATCCAGTGGCGCACTCAATTTTTTATAGGGTTATGATTTTGGAGATACGACCCAAATTTATAAGTTTTTAAATGGAAAACCCTGTATTATATTAGCTCATTAAATTCTTCATTTTTTCCCTTCAGAATGATATATGAATATAAAAATCCCAAAAATGCTTCAAAATCACTAAAACATTGAATTTTGAACGGATTGGATGGATTCTTTATATAAAAAAATTCCAATTGACGGAATATTCCCTTTGATTTTTCCATGAAGAGGACAAAAACAATACCAACACTAATTAATTAACAAAACAAAAAACTTAGTTACTTGGTAGCAACAAATATAAATAGTAATAAAAAGTTTATAATTCACAATAAGCACCTGATTGAATATTTACTGACACAATTGAATTTCGAAATTATTCACTTATTCATTGACTTTTTCAAATTTATATCCATTTTCCCTCACACACTTTCTGAATACGTCTTATGCATTCAAAATCATCAAAGGATTTCTTTGTAATTTCTGTAAAACTGCCTCTGTTGTTGCATAAAGTTCTTCAAGATTGTTGTGCCTCTTACTGCATTAAGACATATTGAGAAAAAACCCAAAATGAGTTCTATTTCAATAATCTTTATTCAAAATGGAATGTTATAATGCGACTTCTTATATCTATAATGAATTGAAAATATTCCTATATATTAAATGGAATTTATTAATTTTTGACAGTGTGATACCTTTCAAAACATTTTATAATACACAGTGGAACATTACAAGGCTCGAAGCAGAATCAAGTTTCTTTTAGCATACAACAACTCTTCAATTTGATCGTCATTGAGATATTTGCGAGCCATCTTGGTTTTTATTCACTTGAAACAAATAAAAACCAACCAACTGATGCAGCTACTACTTCGATACTGAAATATTGAATAAAATGAAAACCGCATCCACAATCGTTGAATCCTGTTGAGACATGTTTAGTTGCATCTTGACATATTAATATACGTAGACGGGAACGCCGGGCTCCCGCAATGAATGCGTTAAAAACATGTTCGTGAAAAGCTGTTTCCCGCATATTTTGTGTGCAAACGTTTTGCGGTCAATGTTTTTGTGATTTTTGAGCATTTTTGAAAATTTCAAATCTATACATCATAAATTATTTTGAAGGAAAGAAATGAGGAATTCAATGAGCTTATGAAGTACAGGGTGTTCCATTTGAAAAATCATAAGTTTGAGTTGTATCTGCGAAACCGTACCCGGAAAAAAAAATTGTGCGCCACTGGATTCTGCGTAAAATTGAATAAATAGGAGTTTAATGTTTAATTTGTCATTTTCGCTCAGAAACTTCGTAGATTTAGAGGGAATTTAAAAAGAATAAATTTCGAAAATCACCCTCTATCTCATAAACGGAAACAGTTATGCAAAATCTGATTAGGCCATCTTGAGTTTCACAAAAAAGTGGTACAGGACCGCAAAAACCGGAAGGTTCTATCTCCAAAGATAACTGAGATTTCACGCAAAAGCATCGAAAACTAGACACACTGTACGGGTGTGCTCATATGATTTAGTATACAAATTTTGCGTCAGGCGAGGTATATTGTTGTCGGCTTACTGATTCAAAATATTTCTGCCGGTCTGGATCTGGTTTACTGAGAAGTCTTGATAGCTCATTTGTTTCAATTGAATATTTGTCAATATAGACAATTCTATGTTGGAGTTCCCTTCTCAATTTTTTTATAATGGAGCTTAATCAGAAATGAAGAAGATGTTTTTCTTGCGTCACCATGGACAACGTACAATTTTATTTGAATTATGAGGATACAATGTATATGTAGGTGGATTATATTTTTTTTACACCACTAGCTCTAGTACCTACAACTACTTGATCCTTTTCAATGCGTGAAGTGTGTTTTCACTGTCAAGGTAGTTCTCGTTATTTTATGAACCACTAAAGGCATAGCCACCTCTGATATAATTGACCCAAATTCACTGTGTTTATGCGAGATTCGCAAGAATGGCACTTCAATTACCAATAATGACTTGTCATATGTTGTCATGATTCGATCATGACTACTAGATTTTAATTGAATTGAATTGAAAAGAAGTGCTTTCATATTGATAATAGGTCCATATTCAAGTTTCACAGAACTTAAGTGATTGAAATATCCTGCTAGTGATGGAAAAAATGTAATATACACCTTGATAGTGAAGAATGATATCACCACGGGACCTTATACCGCTCGGCTGAATGGATATAATCTTGGTCCCTGGGTAATAGTGATATTCTTTACTACCTTGGTTTATAAATGACTATTCTACAACTTGTCTAATTCCAAACTCGTTAGTTTTTGGCTTGTTTGATTTGTTTGCGTGTTTTATTTTGCGTGTGAATTTTGGTTCTACAAACGTGCGTGATTCACCCTATCCGCACGCAATTTAGTTTGAGAAGTGTCATTTTCCCGCAGTATTGCGGAGAAAGTTTTCCCACACTAGTGCGGGAAATGTTTTCCTACACTAGTGCGGAAAAAACATTTATACAATATTCTCGCGTAATATGAGTGGTGGGTAACACAATATAAAAATGTTAAGCTTTTTTGTTGCAGTATTTAGTAAGTTTGTAATTGATCTCATGTGGGAAACAATTATTCTCATGTCAATCAAAACACAAATTAGTTTTCCTCCATTTGGCAGCAAATATCAATTTTGCTGACACATATCAATCAGCAAAGTATTACTTTTTCTGCCTAGGCAGCAAAGTGGTTACTTTGCTGATCGATATGTGTCAGCAAAATTAATAATCCATAAATCGTTTATAATTTCCTTCATTTTTCATCCGAGACTTCTCCGGCAACAAATTCAACTCTCTTTTTTGCCACCTCCCTTATTTCTGGAGGAGTAAGTACTTCCAGATCGCTATCACTGTCCATTATATAATAGTCGCCGAATTGTCCAACTAGGTATAATTATTATGGCCATTTCCATAGCAACCAACCATTCCAACAACTGCGATTTCTATCAAATTTTATTTTAATTGAACACTACAGGAAAAATAAAGAGATTGTGGGAATTGTAATAATATGCAAATACAATATTTTCCTATATCATTATGAACAATCGGAGAAAAAATTATATGTTCAACTCGGCAGCAAAGTAGATTGACTGCCTTAGCTGAATTCCTAGCCTCGCTACGCTCGGCTATGAATTCAGCCCCGGCAGTCAATCTACTACTTTGCTGCCTAGTTAAACAAATAACTATAGTTTGATTCTCAGAGTGACAGACAGAGCGTTACTGTCATTTTCGATTCAGTGGAATTGCGATGAAAAACTTCCAGCTACAGATGCGATACAGATGAGTTATTGCCAACAGGTATGAGAAGCACTACACGGGATTTATTGGATAGTACAAAAGTAAAAAAGTGAAAACACCAAATAAAGAAATAGTTATTTGTTCTACTAGGCAGCAAAGTAGCTGAATTCCTAGCCTCGCTACGCTCGGCTATGAATTCATCCTCGGCAGTCAATCTACTTTGCTGCAGAGTTGAACATATAATTTTTTCTCCGATTGTTCATAATAATAATAATAATAATAATAATATATTTATTTCTCTTGTTGAAAAGTACAAAATAGAAGATGACTTCAATGGTACAATAACAAGGAAAACGTCACAATGCTAAATATAAATGTATATATACATACACAACACATACATACATACATATATCTAAAACGAAGATATGTTAGAAATAAAAAAAGATGTATGCAGAGGCAAGAATAACTAAAACGAATTCACAGTCTACTAAAACTACTAGTAAAATAGGACTATATAAACCTAGAATTCGTCGAGGGTGTAGCAATTTTTTTGGATAAGAGCAGTTTTCAATCTCGATTTGAAAATTGTTAAATTTGGTGAGTTCTTAACCGATTCATCTAGCTTGTTAAAAAACTTTGGTCCAAGATAGAGAAAACTTTTTTGGTAAAGGGTGGTTCGGTGCATGTTGGGTATCAACAAGTTTTTAGAGCGAGTCGAGTATTGATGCTGATTAGATGTGAAGTTCGGCCTATTCTTATAAATATATATACATAGTTCATAAATATAAATACTCGCAACCGTTAGTATTCGAAGTTCTTTGAATGAATTTCTGCATGATTGCCTCCACCCGATTTCAGCAATGATTCTGATAGCCTCCTTTTGTAGAATAAAAACCCTCTCTGCAGTTGACCCTGTACCCCAGTTCAGTATTCCATACCGTAGATGACAGTGGATAGTTCCGTAATACAGATTCAGCAAAACCTCTTTACTACAATGTCTAGACATAAACCTCAATGCGTAACAATTTTTCCTTAATTTATTGCAGAGAGCTTCAATATGAGGGGTCCATGTGAGTTTATAGTCCAGCGTGAGACCTAACATCATTGTTGTTGAGCAATTTTCAACATTTAACTCCTCATTCTCAAAAATACTGAAGTCTTCAGGGACATTGTTCAATGAAAATTTCATCAATTTGGTTTTGGAGATGTTCAATGCCAAGTGATTTTTACTAGCCCAAGTTACCACCCGCTCATAAACACTTTGTGTTTTTTCTGTGAGATCTAACACATTATGATCCTTGATGAGAAAACTGGTGTCATCTGCATAAGCAACTACATGAATTTCTGTGAGACTACTGAAGTACTGCATCAGG